GCGCTACTCCACAAAGAACATGTCTAACATAATAATAATAATAATATTTTAAATGTTGAAAATGTATTTTAAGCAAGGGTTGGATCCTTAAGGTTGTTTCAGATGTGTTGGACCTTCAAAAATCCCTCTGAAATCGCGTAGGGAACAATTTTATTGTTTAATGATGACTCACTATTGTCACTTCACTTCTAGAAATAATATCAACATGTTAAAAGACATAATATTTTAATTATCTGTCACGTGTATATCGGTGAGCTTTTAAAAAAAACATCAGACATTCATAACGTTTCTCGACGGTTTTTTTTTTCACGGGGTTTCAACTGCTGCTGATTTTTATTAATTCGATTTATTTTTTTCACCAGTTATCCTCGTCAAAAATGGTCTACAGCGGGTTATCGATTCGTATGTTGAATCACTATATTCGTTTAAGAGTGTGTGTGCGCCCCACGCCGGCGGGTTCATCTGCTGAGACACGGTATGTAAGTGGATAACGGCAAAGGACGGCCCGATGATAATTTGTCAACGTCTTTCAAAACACCAAAAACGTTTACCGGTCGTGATTAATCATTATTATATGATACGTGCAATTCCCGGTCACGTGAGACACCGTCCCGAAATATGAACCACACAAACACCGGCGGCTGCGGTCGCTTAAATTATTTCGCAGTTTGCTAGGAATGGAAGAGCAAGAAATAAGGCCGAGGTGAGGGCGCGCGCACATGGTACCGTCTTATAACGTTGAACACACACCGTCTTTGGGCACATGTTTGAAATCTTAGAAGTAAACAAACTGGTTGATTTCACTTGAGCCCCCCCCCCCCCATCCCCAGTAAGCTGATGTCGGATAACGACAGCGACGATGGCGTTTGGTATAGTATAAAAGGATCAACGTCAATAGTTTTCGATAAAAATTAGTCCACTGATCAAGTACGAAAATGTACTTGTCTGGTTAACTAGTTATGTGAAATATATTTAACTAAAATCACAAAACACGAACCAATCGTTAATTGTAATCAACTATAAGACCTGACATAACCCACGGTGCCAAACTAAAAATATAATTTAAGAAATTCTCAATTTTAAATTTCAAGAAAAATGTATTTTTTGTTATTAATCAATACAATGAATGGTTTTTTTTTTCAATTTTCTTAAATGCACAAATTCATATAATATCTACTACGTAGACTTTAGTTTTTAAATCCCAAAATTACACCACAAAAAACAAATATTGCAGTTACAAAATAATAAAATAATTATCAAGTTAAAAATTATCAAAAGATTTGTAAAAAAAATTAACATAGTGCAAAATTAACAAGTAAAAAATACTTGAATGCTCATTTGCCAAGAGTTATGAAAAATAGATTAGTTATTCTTTAAATGTACTTATCATATAAGTTCAATTATAATACAGGGTGATCAACTTATCGTGAACCACTCAATATCTCACTGTGTTTATTTATAATCATTTAATTTTTTTTTCCATAATGTTTTCATACAATCTGATCTCAATTTCTAAAAAAAAAATTTTGTTTTTACGCCCCCTCCCCTACTTAGCAATTTTTGAAACTTAAATGGTAATGCATACATTTCATTAACTTTTTAAATTGAGAATAATGTACTAAAAATATTAACAGGTCGATAACCAGTTTTGGACAAATATTTTTAATGTTATAAGAGTTTAAATGTTAGGATGGGAGGGGAAGCGCGGTTGGGATATGCGCGCAGATAAAAAATAAACTACACTTCACCTTTCCTCCTGGCCTGAACTTGTAACTTCAATATTATTTCTTATTGAGTGGTTCACAATAAGTTAATCACCCTGTATAGAAAATTCGAACGAAAAGTAATCAACAACTCGTTTCAACACTCAACACGCCCAAGTTGAAAAAAATTAAATTTCTCATTTCATAAAAAAAAGTCATAAAAACTGTTTGTAAAATAGATTTTAAAATCATTTTAGATTTTCAGATAGTCATTTATTTTATTTTTATTAAGAAGAAATTATCTTATAAATATGCTAATTATATGCCTATACATAATTGAGAATTCCCTAAATCCCTTAAGTATACAGACATCAAGTCTGTGGTGGGAGCATGATGTGAAGATGATGATCCATGTGCGCGGTTCTCTAATAATCTATGTCTTAATTGCGTTTTAAGGTGTTGTTAATAATTAATTTACATTAAAACTTCGCACAGATTATGCGTCGATTATAATGTGTCTGTTTTCATATTTTATAGTTCACAAATTGTTAAACAAATCTCAAGGAAATTCCCAATAGATTATTTTAAATTTTTATTGTAATCACTTAACAAATTGATAAACACTTATTTTATAACTTTACATTAGTTAAGTATCACAGGAATAAAAAATTATAACAGTTAATGGCTTTAAGTATATTTTTATTATGAATAAATTAAAATTACTCGAGTTAAAATATTAAGATATTATCGTTATTTTTGAACGCCGGTATGCCCATGCAGTTAATATTATTTCAACCCTTATCTATGGTGGTGGGTGCAGTACCTTATCGCCTAACCATATATATTGCTATTCGGGTACTATAATATTTCAGTAACAACGAAATAACAGGCTGGAAACTTTTGTGTATATCAGAATTCAAAAAGACTCACTCAACCGAAACATGACCTATACATTATTATAATATCAGCCGACTAAAGTCATGACCCATTGTGCGGTTTCGACTGAAAAGGTCCAATTGTGTTTATGATATTAAATACCTACTGTTCTCACTTTTGTATTGTGCTATGATATTAAATTTAAGATGTATGTATATTGTTTACTTCGTTTATTACAAATTATGCTTACATTAAAAAAAGCATAGTGCAACTTTTTCATTCAACTTTTAGATTTTAAAATACAGAACAATTTATATTATTGATTTTAGTAATTACAATAAAAGTATATTAAAACATATCGAGACTTTAATTTGTCGGATTTGTGTTAAGTTTATTTATTTTTAAGTATTTAAATGCGGATAATTTTGTGATGTTTATTTTTAATTAAATTTCCTCTTTTAAAGTAGCATTTTGTGTCATTTATAATACAATACGTTCGTTAGCACAAGGTGTAAATAAAATAAATATTTAAATGTACATCATAATGTATATTTTATTAAGCATACAACAATACGACTATAATATGTAAGCGAGAACTGTTATTAAAAACGTTTAAACTTGAAATGGACAATTCTTTAAATATTTTCATTTAAGTATAGCCAGTTTCTAAAAAATGTAATTATTTTACCGAGAAAAATATAATTGTGATTATCAATAATTTGATGAGATTTATAGATACCTTTTAAATTGTGGAATTCAATATATTATTAAGTCTATTTGAAATTCAAATTCCCAAGGCGATCATTTTAACCACTATTTTTTTAATATCAATTTGCAAAATTTGTGTTGTCCTACGCAAACTGCTGATTTGTCCAAAGCAAGGTGAACTATTTATGATGATCATTACCTACATTTAACCCTAAAACCACAGACGGCAAGTTTAATTAAACCGTTAAATCTCGTTGGACTTCAATTTTTTAACATGAATTCCTTGGTCGTTGTCGATAATAGGAAAGACAACGACAGTTATAGAAAATTATTATGCGACTATGTTAAAAAATGTTAAACTCAACTCAAGTCCAAAGACTTTGTTGTTATTTCAAACTGATAAATGACATCTAAAATTCACGTGCTTTTAATGCATGGAAATGACCTTAATATTTTATGTATAAACTTTAAGGGATTTACTTAGGATAGGATTTTCTAAACTATGTCCTTTTTCTACCTAAACCGAGCACGATTTACACTTAAATGTTAAACCACGGGGCTTAGCCTATAACCGCATGTTTATGGTCAGATACCGCATACAAACTGTTAAATCTTATCCAGTACATACTAATCGAATAGATATAAATTTAAGCGGTATTTTTTGAAAAGCACAACCTTTATAGTATGATGATTTTCCATAAAACCAAAACCGTAAATTTACACTAGCCACATTTTAACTGTTAATTTATTGATTTAAACAACAGCAACAAAATATTTCAATGTTACTTTTAAAGGATATTGATTTTATATTGTATTTTCTCTGTTTGCGCTATGATTTCTAAACCACTAAGCCGTTTACTTTTATATGTTTCCAACCAAAAGAAGAAGGAGTTAATGTTAAAATAAAAATCCCGTTTATTCTTAAAAAAATCCAGAGAAATTCCACTAACATCCCGATTTTAAATTCTACTTTTTGACCTTTTGTAGATAAATATCTTTCAAATTCTATTAGAACGTTCGTCCATAAGATGTGTTATTTTAGAGGTACAGTTTTGACTTAAGAGATAAGTATTCAACTTCAGATTTACTGATTTACAAATGGATTTTCAAGCAAACGATTTTTGTGATTTTTCCAAGTAGTTTAATCACTCAAATACTAAATTAAATGTGCAGAACCGTAGTTTTTTATTTTTTTTTCTCTCTCTATATTAACAAAACAATATGTACAATATTTACAGTAAGTTTTTTTGTTTGTCGAGGATACATATCATGAATAATTAACATGTGAAGAAGCCACCCATCGGGAACACCTCAGAGAGAACCATGGTTAATTATTTTTTATTTCAAACCTTTTTTTTTTTTTGGCCATATACTTCATTCCACCGTCCACGTACTATAGGGACATAGTAATTAGTCGCTTTAACACCGAGTTAAGGTTATCCGTGTCGAGCAACAAATGCAGTGTATGCGGAACAACAGCGTCGTCGTCATAAAGTTGTAATTTCAAGTTATAAATAATACCCACCTCGTTAATTACCGTAATGCGTAGACAATGAAATGGCAATATAAAATAAATAGTTTTGCACGTATTAGAGCGAGAAACGAGGAGTCGTACGAACATTGCTATTGTTCGCCGAGTCGCAGTGCACACCACCGCCGCCGGGTATGTGTGCTATACTGTCGTTGATAACAGAAACAATCAGCACGTCTTACCTGTAACATGGGCAAAAAGTAGCACAGGAACCGTCCGAAAATCCAGTTCTGCACGAGCAACACTATCAGGGATATGGGTAGCACGGACACGCACTCGAGCAAGCCAGTCAGCGCCAGGTTGGCCACGTACACGTAAACGGGATCGGCGGAGTACAATTTTTTTCTGAAAATTATTGCCAGCACATAAGCGTTGCACAGTGCCCCGGCCACTATGAGCGCGCTGTAACCGCACACAAAACCGGGATACGTGTGCCGGACGGACGGCCGGAGCTGCAGGCGATTGAAGTCCACGGTGTCGTTGCGAAACCCTCTCAAATAGTCCACGATCACGGGCAGCCAGTTGTGCGGGATCTCGTCCACTTGGATGGAATTCAGCTCGATCATGGCGCTTGGGGTCCGCGACACCTGTTGAACAAGATAAAAAAAAACCAACGAAACTTAGTCTGACGCGTCCAGTTACAACGGAAAGTATGGGCAGCGTCGCTAGAGTCAGATAGAGCTTGGGAAGTTCGGACCAATGAAAATCACCTATTTTCACGATCATACTTATAATTCTGCCTGGGAAAAAATAGCGCTTGAATCGACTTCAGGCGGCGTCTGGTGACTAACCATACTTCCCACTAAAAGGCTAGTACTATGTTGAAAAATTAAACAAAAATTGTTTTCTTTCTATTAGTTCGGCAATAAAGCTAAAATAAAATAATTTCACAAGTCGATGGAAGAATGAGCGTATTATGGTTAGTACGCAAAACCTTTTTGAAACGATTAAAATATTTTGTTATTATATAATACAAAGTAAACACAAGCGTTTTATATAACTCTGCTATTCAAATATTACCTATAGGCGAGTGACACAGAAAACGCATTTGAGGTAGTGGTTAATGTTTTTCACTTATAATGCTCTTAACGGAGCGCAGTTATGTTAAGAGACAAACAAAAAGCAATCAACATAATTTATACAAACTATACCTTGGATATGTAAGCTATAAGGTCGGTTATAAAACACAGTTCACTCTGATACAAGCGTGTCTCATATTTCAGGTTTTAAGTAAAATAAGTTTTCCTTATTCTATATATAAATATTTCTACTATTATAAAATGTTTGTTTATTTGAATATAAAACTTTTTTTCGTTCTTTAATTGTTATATTATGCAATCACTATACAATGTAGTATAATGAAAATATTCGATATTTTTGTTCAAAACAACATGTTTGGCTTGAGAGTTGAACTGTAAACAAAACTTGATTTGCTTTTCAATAAAAAAAAAAAACAGCTAAAAAATCATCAGAAGTGTTACAATGAATTTTACAAAAACAAGTTAGGTTTGATTAACTCTGAAAAAAAAACATTATTATTTAAAATGAATTCGGAAGGTAGCCCTAGAGGCCACAATTAAAGCTTAATTGTGCTTAATAATAGAACATAATAATTAGTATACTTGGACAACTACTGTAGTCGACTTCTTCCAAACCTTTGCTTAATTTATTTGTTTCCCTATGTCATAATTAGCTATAGGCTATAACATAGCTGACAAATATTTTAACATGCATCTCCTCTATTAATAATGAATAATAAATATATATTAATTAGATATTCATTACATCGACAAGCTCAGACAAATTGTGTCAAGTTTTAACATTACCTAACCAATAAATAATAATATGCAATATATATTTTAACAACTAATTTTCAATATTTTGAAATATTAACAGTTAAAGCAAGTTTTTTAATAATATTACATTTACTCTTTACGCTACAATATTATGATTTATGCACTTTGGTCCCAGCTAGAGTTTTTTTTAATTTAATTGCAATTTGCAATATAGTTTAAAGAGTTTTAACTCGTATATATTATGGCAACACTAAATGAATGTGATAAATATATTATTTAACTGGTTTAGTAGTCATTATTTAAATTTTCAAAGCTTCCTCGCCTTATTTTTATTCTGGGATGATAAACAAACCACGAGTTGAGTATATATAGTACTAATAAACTTCCCCCGTATAATATTATTATTAATATAGTATATAACGTTAAAATGTTGTATATTTTTTTAAATATTTTTGTATACACCTAAGGACATAAACCAACCATTAAGTACTTCATAACTACTTTTTTTAATAACTGACTTTTCTTATTATTTGAAATTATTGTAGTTTCTTATATAATAAAATAGAAACTTAAAGGAAAACTCTCAAACGATCATTGCTTATCTAACAGTTTTAACAACACTAAATGTGTCATCAGTTGAATTAGTTCATTAAGCCTGCTTTAAAGTAGTGAGTATCCTGTCGTTAGTACAAATAAAAAGAAACTTAATCAATTCAGATTAAGAAAATATAATATTAACACAAAACTAGCTGTCATAATAAATCTGTTTATCGAATAACGATTATTAAAATGTGCTGCTGTACAGTCATTATTATGTTACATGTAAGTGACATTGAATAATTACATATTTTCTATTTAAATAGCTAAACTTGTACGTTAAGTAAAAGATAAACATAAATATGGTATACAATAACTGAAAAAAAAAACATAATAATAGCATAGCAAATGTTCTTTTCGTATAAATTTGTAGTGGTTTTTTAAAAATATAAATAATATGTGTAATTAAAAAGTTTAAAACACAAATTCATTATTAAAACCGTAAGAAAATTCATAAGGTATTTTTCATATTATCCAAGAAATCGGTTATTCCTTAAAAAATGTCTTTTTTTTGTAAATTCATTAATTTTAATTTTTGTTAAACCCGTTTTTTCAAGAATATTCTCAGATTTATTTGGACATTTCCGGAATTGCGATGCCTATTTAAAGCATATTTTAACATTTTACATAATAAATTTAATTAAATTTACCTAATTTACTTCTACATAAAATACATAGTATCTAGTATCTCGTCGGTCACATTTAATTTTCCTATTTGGTAATAGCGTTAATATTTTATGTTTGGTAATTGTATATCATTTGTTTGTACATTGCATAGTTTTTATTAATAAACAAATAGTTATGATTTAATTCTGTATTTTAAACAGTTATCTATTTGATACACATGTGGGCGGCAATTATTGTTAACGAAATCCGAGGAGCGCTAAAAAATCAAATTCGCTGTGTAAACTACATGATATTAAATAATGTTACGATTTTTTTTTCTTTTTTATTTGTTAATAAAATATATGGCGTTGAAGAATATTATAGTTTTAATACTCCAAGGACACCGTATATTATATTATATAAATAAAATGTTGACTCTACAAACGCAAAGGCTGTAAAAAATCCAAAATAATTTTTCAAAAATCTACTTATAAACAAGTACATGTAAAATGACAAAAGCAATTTAATAAATATTTCTATATATAATTAAAGCCCATTTCAAAAATACAACACCTACACATAAACGAGTGGTGGTAACGTTGTACATTATTTTTTAACAAGACAAAATTTTCGCTGGTAAACCTCAGATGACGATGATACACTTACAGTATACAGACGTGAGCATGATCACAATAAAAGCTTTTATGATGAGTACAGGGAATAAAGAGATAAAAATAGAGAACTTTATAGGATACAACGGTACATTAGTTGTATTATTATTTTTCTATTTATTTGTTATTAAAACTATACCGGTTTAATTTTTTTGGTAATTTGTCTTTGTTCCAACACAAATTTTAATAATGCAAAAAAAAAAAATTTGTTATTGTACTAGCGGTTTGTTAAATCCATAATATCATGGTATAATTATTATTGTTGTCTTAACTTACCAGCCATCAACAGCTTAAAGGAAACCCCAATTTAAAAACTTAAGACCCGCGGCTGTTAGGCGTAAATCATATTTACAAATACTTTTACCGAATTTTACTAAATATTAAAACGTTAATTAAAATAATAGTATTAGCTGTACTTGGTTTCTTTAAACATTTTTAAACAACAAGTTATAACTTAAAAAAGTTTTTTAAATAAACTTTAAAACCAAAAATGTTTGAAAAAAAATAACGTTTGCGTTTTTTTTTTCAATTTTATATTACTTTCACATTTTTGTTATTTTATATTTAAATAAACATACAATAAACGATACAAATATGAAATAAATAATAAGTTCGTTTCCTTCTGGTAATTCCAAGTTTAAATTTGTTATAACAAATTTTAGAAAGAGAAATAACTCTTTGGATTACCTTTTTAACGATATATTATTAGTTATTACATATTATATGTATATTATAAGAAAAAGAACCTTTTGAAATTGCTGGTAAAAATGTTACAATAATTATAACTTAAAATTAATTGGTAATAAGACTTAGTTATTACTATAAAAGTATACATAATTATTTAGTAGCTCACTGTGATTGAAGTTTCATATTGATACGTACCACTCTCTCTCTCTGTTCTATAAAACGTTTTACATTATTTATAAAATTATTCATTATTAAAATATTCAAAGTAATTAAATATTAATTATTCCACAACAGCTGATGTAATAATTAATGGACTTTTTGAACTTAACAGGCAGTAAACTTTACAAAGTATAAAACAAAACCATTTGTTTTCGGCAAATTTAACTACAATTTTTTTGCATAAATAATAAATTACCCGGAACCTAAAAATTGTTAAGTGCTCTTTCACGTCTGAGAACAAAAATATGACTGTACTCAGACATCAAAATAAATAAAGACTGTCGTTTTTGCAAATTTAATGTCGTTGAACTTGGCAGACCATCAATCACATTTTAAAAGAATAGAATAGAAAAGTTCTACGACACAACACACAGTTCAACTAAATGAAACCAATATAAATTACTGTTAATTATTTATTTATTACCCGACTGCGAAAGAAAAAGGGTAAAGTGTATAATTTATATTTCAATATTTACTAAACTAAAAAAAATTTGTAATACATTTTTCAGACTTAGAGCATTTGTTTTACTAAATACCACATAATATATACAATTGTATTGGAATATTCCAACTGATCTACTGAACTACTATTGATGAAGATATGGCTAATTTTGGACCATTGGGTGTAGTTAAAAGTTAATAAAAAATGTTTTTCTCTAAGTATATTTTCAAAGTAAGCGACTAAGACATCACAGAAACAAATAAGCCGATTAAATTAAAACTTTATACAATAAAAAAGTATGGAGGAATTAATAGTCTTCCCAAACGGAACTTAATTTTAAGTAAATAAAAAGGTTTATAAAAAAATACATATCTTACTTAAAACTTGTTTATAATTTTATACTTAAAAATTCTTCAAGCACTAATTTTTATAAAACTTATTTAAAAAAACTTACTGTTTGAATTTAACCGGTCGATTTGTGTTAAAAAAAAAGGCGATAAACGCAAAGAATTAGTTTATTCAATACACTAATATAAAAAGGATAAATTTAGTTCTTTAAGAAAAATATTTGTTTGTAAGACTTTCAAAAAATGCTTATATATTAAGATATTAAATGCATGGTACAATTTAATACCTAAAAAAAAAAGTAAACCATTTTTACCGACAAAAATAAAATTTTTCTGCATTTACTATTAAATACAAATTTCAACATTTTATTTGAAGGGTTTATATTTTTACTTTTTTCTAGTTTTTTTTTCTTAAAAATCTAACTAATTTTCTAACAAATAAATAAAAAAACCGGCCTTTTAGCTAAAAAAACATTAACTCGTATTTTTATTGTACGTTTTATTTTCGTTAAAACGTTATTTAATAGCGGCTCTGATAATTTAACCAAAAATAGTGTTTTCTCCCTCTAAATATTATACTTAACCGAAATTTAATTAGGTATTCAAAACGAGAAAAACGTCATTTTTATTAATAATTTGTGTTTACTTACAGATTTTTTTTTTCTTTTTCAAATTAACGACGACGATGCGATAGCCTATTGGTCACGGTACTCCAGGCTTTTAGGTCATTTTGGCCAAAACACTCCGAAAGGACTGACAGATGAAGCTGTGTCGGACTTAGCAAGCATCTCGTTGGGGTACTACCACACAACCAAACGCGGTTGCCATGGAGTCGATCCGACGCGCCGCGCCGCCACTGAGTTGCTGTTCGCCGTATCTCTATGTACCTATTGTAAAAAGATAATAATTTATGTTTCCAGCGGATACGAGAAGGTATAGGTTTTAAAATTATATAAATATACCTATTTGGGTGTTGTGTCGAGCTCCACGATATTATGTTATCAACCGAACGACCCATTTGTTCGGATAACAAGGCTATATATAAATCAGAAATCGTACCCGAAAAGCCAAAAATGTGAAAAAAACCAACCCCTACTTCTTTAAATTCAATAAAAACACCTTGAAAAATGTGCACATTTTCCTACTTAAAATTATCGCACCCCAAAAATATTACATTACTTATGAACATTTGTAGGATCTTCTTCAGCTGTATAAACGTATTATTAGTTTCGTTTTTTTTTTAAGTGTACTTTTTGTAGGACTGAGATCTGAAAATTAGACTGAAAGTACATCTATAACATGTATTATTAGACGTACTGGTAAAGCTATACTCTTTTTGTATAGATCCCACCACAAAATAATAATGTCAATGGAAACAGAAAAAAAAAACTGCACAATAAATGTGTATACAGCAGTGAAATTACATTAGTCCGATATTTTAAAACAAAATGTATTATATTATTGAAACTGATTAACGCTGTCTACTAATCAAATATTAATATTAAATCTATCTGCTATTGTATTATACTTGAACCAAAATATTGAACTGCAAAAATATATTGTTAATATCGACTATTAAAAGAGTAGAATGTAATTTATTTTTTGCTACGTTCATATTATTTTGTTTAATAATTAAAAAGGAAAATTTAATTGTATTACCCTTTTTTCTTCGTATACAAGTATAACAATATGATATGATTAAATGTTTAAATTTATTTTGCGACATGACTAAATGTATTATGGAACTTAGTAATTATATTAACTAATAATAAAGTGTTCTACAAACGGTTTACATAATTCTATTTTTGCTTTTGGTAAATAACTCCATTACAAGTTAAAAACTTGATGACCCTTTCATACATAGCTGTAGTTCTCTGATTTTATCGATGGGGGTTTTTTGTACCTACCTAAGGTTTGAGCCTACTCGAGGTTTAATCTGCTTATTTCTAGAGAATCCACCTAGGTGAATATATCTGGCAATATATAGCAATAATTACTTTCAATAATTGTGTTTCAATCAAATAACTACTATATTCATTGGCATTACACGTGTGTGTGTGTACTTAAACAAGGACCCTGCAAGGCTACACGTCGATTATTTTAACAAATTGAAGATCCATTCAAGTTTAATAGTGTTTTGACCGACGTTTCCCTGGGCGACGGTTAACAATGGTTTCTGAGAAGAAAGCCTTAAGACTTCAAAGCGCCCAAATCACTTTGCCCATCAATGTGGTAACAACGGTGCATGATGAACACAATGTTGGAACTCTGGAAAGTACTTTTCGTCACGATTGTAATTGATTTCTGCAATTCGCAAAATTTGCAAACAATTAATATCCGTAAGTTTCAAAACGTGGCACGCACTTATTCGGTTGTGAAACGTGTCGTCAAACTTTTAGCTGCGCAATTGAATTATTCCTCTTGTTTGTTGTATTCTATTAGTGTTCATCAATGACCGAAGAAATTTAGTGGCCGAAGAAACTTGGGGGGTGGCGCTTAACTATATCCGAAGAAATCCAAGAGTCGGATTGATGATCGACGGGTTGTATTCGGTGAATATAGGCGGTGACGACGCTTCGGCTATTTTGGAAACGCGTAAGTCAACTATTTTTGGTTACCACAATAACAAATATTTGAAAAAATCTAGTTGTACATGTTCACCATTAAATCTACACTGGTCTATCTAATTAGTTGTACTAATTTATTTTCAATTCTTCATTCACCGTGTTAAATATATTATCTCAATCTATTCTGTCTGATTCCCTTGTTATTAACGCTACTATTAAACACTCATTGCTAATTCCATCTATACTAATCACTCCGCTAACTACACTTTCCGTTTTCCTTTTATCTTTTTTACTCGAATGCCCTGCACTGGATTCCGCAAGACGTACATCATTGCTGGCGTCACAACGGTTTTCTACAATATTGTACTTTCGTTGTGAATAGTGCCTTTCCGTCACACGACATCCGTGTTGTTGTCTCTTTCCGCCTCATCAAATCATTTTTTATTCCCCACATCCTCTTTTAATCTCCCATTCTCTCGCATCACTGATCCCGCCGAACTACTCGCATTTCTCCACCTTATTTACCGCTTGAAATCCAATCGTGCCGGGACTACAGGAAGTCCACAGTAATCAACGCGGTGTAGTTGTTTAATTTCGTTATTTTAAACTAAATTTGTGGCAAAAAAAAAATTGGACGTTTGTATGGAAATACTGGATTATGTAAATAAATATAAAACATCAATCGTCGTACATGATTGAATAATATATTTTTAAATAAATCGCGCAAACACACACACACCTCACACCCCCATTCTTCACTATGCTGTGCTATATTTGTTTGCATAAAATATGGCAATCTGTACAATATGTATTTATGGACATTTTATATTCATTTGTAGTTTGTGTCAATTACAACGCGTCGATCCGGAATAATAAACCACCACATTTGGTTATTGACACGACAATCAACGGTGTATCTTCAGAAGCTGTTAAGTCGTTCACAGCCGCATTAGCATTGCCCACCGTCAGTGCGTCTTACGGACAAGACGGCGATATCAGGTAAATTATTTAAAATAACAGCTACGATATCATACACACCAGAAAAATGAATAATTTTAACCAACTCGCACCCCCCCCCCCCCGAAAACTCTTTGTGTAGGCAATGGAGAAATCTAGACGGTGAACAACAAAAGTATCTTGTACAAATCAGTCCGCCCGCGGATATCATACCGGAAATAATAAGAAGCATCGTAGTGTCACAGAACATAACCAATGCCGGAATTATGTTTGATGATACATTCGGTATGCAGAAATTTAAATTAAATAAACACATGTTTTGATGAAATACATAAGACGCAGAATGTTTATAATACAAGTCCATGCGAAATCGACATAACGACTTTAAATTATTTTTCGAATTTTTCCAAGACTTTGGATATTTTTCTTATAAAACGCTAAAAAAAGTATATTAGAGAAATTTCAGCTCTCTATAAGCGCATTATTGTGTGTATATCAGGCACCCGTTTTTTATATTTTACAAATTATAGTAACATTTTCACACAGCTATAGAATAATTTCAAAAAGTTACACTTTTAAAGTTATTACACACTTTTTCCATTGAAAGTTAAGGTTTTACAGACAACTTTTATACAAAAAAACGTTTTTATACACGCTGAGACCGATTGATTTGTAAATTTTTAACATAAACATAAAAAATTTTAAAGAAAAAACTTTTTTATAAAATTGTATTTTAAACTTGTATAATAATTAAACGTTCTATACGGAAACTGCTATTTCTTAGAATAAAAGTTTAAAGTGTTACTTTTACTTTTTGGAAATAAAAATGTTAACAGTTAAATTAAAGCTCCGATTTTAATATTGTCCCCTGTGAAAACTATTCAACAAATTCATTACACAAAAAAAAAAAAATTAAATACATTTTAAATATTTAACATTATGGATCCTAATAAAAATTTTTAATTTAATTTAAATTGTTATTTGATATGTAACATATCAAATTAAAGCTAATATCTCAAAGTTTATATTTTAATAAATACATTTATGCATTTTGATTTGTCTCATCAAATTAATCAAGTTTTAATGTAATTCAACGACTGTGACAAGTATTAAAATGTACACAAAGTGCAGTCGGCGAGCCAAATATATACAAATAATATTGTTTTAGTGTTTAGCTATAATAAATATCCAAAGTCTTAGAATTTATTATTATACTGCTATATTAGTAAAATATATGTATGTTTGTGTTGATTTCATGGAATGACGTTTAAGTAAAAATTAATGAGTCGTCTTAGTGATTTCCCCAATTGATTTATTTTCATTTCAGTCATGGACCACAAGTACAAGTCCCTGCTTCAAAACATACCAACTAGACACATCATCGCCATCATTGATGACGTGACAAGCATAAAACTTCACTTGACCCGATTCCGTGACGTGGATATTGTAAATTTTTTTGTTCTGGGAAAACTTTCCAGCATTAAATCAGTATTGGACCATGCGAATTCCAATAAATTATTCGGCAGGAAATATGCTTGGCATGTCATTACACAGGTAACGAAAATGTATTGGTTTTTTATTCAATGGTCTTGGAAAAAAACTGTGTATACAGTCTTAAAATTTATCATAATTTTTTTTTTAACACTTATTAGATTTGTTTATACTATGGTTTTAAGTCAATTCAAGAAAAATGTTTAAATAATTCAAAGCAAATTATTTTTTTACTACATGATTTTTTCTAGTTTTTGTAATAAAAGTTTAACAAGGCTGGACAAGGTTATATAGCATTATATAAATGTTTTATGTGTAATTTCCGGCAAGTCAAGTCAAATAATAAAAAGTTTAAGTAAAAACTATTATAGACTTGATAAGTAACGACTTGATACTGTCAACAATGTTTTGTTTTGTATACTACATTATTTTTATAGTTATTATTAACAACTAAGTTGTTAATACACACCTATTTAAACTAAACAATGTGTAAATGTAAAATATTGTTTTTTCGCCTTCTTGTGTTAACTTTAAATACCGGAATTAGTGAATTTAAAATTAAAATATAAAGCAGGGTTAAAATTAGGATGCTTTTTGTGTATCCGCCTAAGATAAGTCCTTTAATGGTCCCAACTGATTTTTGTGTTTTGTTTCTTTTTTTTTTGTGAATTTGCGTTCGTTGTCACAATAACTGTTATTAACTGATTTATTACTATATATGTGATTATATTTAATTGGCATTGTGTTTCACGCCGCGTGTGTATTTAGTATTGCTAAAGCTAAGAAGGAACTAATGGTTGGATTGTTAACGAAACAGCTTATTAGTAAATGCCTTTCGGTTCGTCGTCTGCACGTCTAGTAGCTTCTAACTTCTACTAGGCAGTACAGATCTAATGAATGTATACATTTTAGTTTTTGTTATAGCCTAGGTTGGTCATATTGGTTTTGTCAAGCAAAAAACGTCAAGTCGAAACGATTTAGCATGGAAAAACATTTCATCGTTAAGATTTTAATTGCGTTAGTCGTTATATGTATAAATAACAACGGTACGGTGGTTTTTAGCGTACAGCATTTTGTCCTCGAACAGGTCAAACATAAATTAATAATTATTGTCAGCCACAACTTTGGGAAGACATGCGTTTCGAGGAGCACAACTGCGGAATGGGTCGGATAAAGAAAAATACTGCATACATATTACATAATATGTTCTAGCCCTATCGACTGTCCTGAGTCTTGATCATGAACATATTTTTCTTAATCCAACTTATTCCGCAGTTGAGCTCTTTGAAAAGCATGTCTCCACTAAAGTTACGGTTGACAATTAATAAGCTTGACCTGCTCTAGTACAAAATGCTGTACACAAAATACCCTATCGTGTCGTTATTTATGCGTATAACGACTAACGCGATTAAAATCTTAATGATTAGAAATATTTTTCCATGCTAAATCGTTTCGACTTGAGATTTTTTACTTGCCGAAACCAATATGACCTACCTAGTCTATACCAAAAACTAAAATGTATACATTTATTAGATTTGTACTGCGCCTAGTGGAAGATAGAAGCTACTGCGTGCAAAATACCAACCGAAACGCACCGCAGTTGTTTGCTTAAGACATATTATGTAAATATCAAAAGTCCACAAGGAACAATCGTTGTATATGTATAAGCTACTAACAAACAAAAAAAAAACCATCATCAAAATATTTATTACCTAGAAAAGTTAGTACTAGCATTGTTTTTGTCGCGCATAACATTTTATTTTTTGAAATTATTTTCTTTGTGAAATATAAAAACGATTTTTATAGCTTTATTGTATATGTTACAGCTCCACTCCAGGTCTACACCTTAAATTCAGGCCTCAAGTCCAAAAACATTGCTCGAAAAAACGAAATAAAAAAAAAGTTTCCACCCAGTTAGGTTTCACCCAGTCTAAGAGAAAGAGTTTATGTTTTTTTTTATTTTTGGTTTATCGACCATCATAGAGCAGTATTTTTGAGTTAAAAATGATATAAGCTCGTTTGGTGTACTTCTCGATTTTAACCAGGATGAGATGAACTTTTAGGTAATATTGTTAGGCCAATAAAGTACCTGCCATGTATGATTTTTGGTCTGTAGATATTCTTCATGAAAAAATTGATTCAAAAAATAACTTTAATGGAAAGTGGAAACTATGCGTTCTAATTTCCATATTGAAACAAACAAGATGGTATAATATTATTTTAAATAGACTTTGTCAGGAATTGAAAACAACCGAGGGCCTCTTAAACATCTAAAGGTGTAGTAAACAAGTAAAAAAATAATGTGCACGTGTATTGTTCAAATATTAAAAAAGAAATATGGTTTTATACCTTACACGAAAAATATTAAGAATATTCGTGTACAAATTTATCGATTTGAAAAAAAAACAACAGATATTCTATTGCTTACACGTTTCATAAGATCCATATCACATTATATGAATTGAATAAACGAGTACCTACAAAAAAACCATTAGATTCAAAAATCAAAATTAAAAAAAAACTCACTAGCGGCTCTTGTCATTGTAATGGTTTATTAAGTTGTATTTTTCGGCTAACTTCTAAATAATAAAAACAAACCTTCACGGATACCTACCCGAAATTATTATTGTACATAATTACTATTATACATAGTAATAGTTGCCGTAAGGCGTTTAATATAATATGTTTAAGATGAAATTATATTAATTTTAGGACAAAGGATCTCTGAAATGTGGTTGTTCGAATGCAACTATTTTATTTGTAAAACCAGAACCCGATGCTGGGAGTCGCGAGAGGCTGTCTAACTTAAGGACGACTTATGGCTTGACCTCAAGTCCTGAACTCACAGCTGCCTTCTATTTCGATTTCTACTTTCGTTCACTGTTGTCTATCAGGTAAAATTTAAAACCAGCCTCGTACACTTCCTGGCTAGTTTTAAGAAAATATCTAACAAGTTGTGCCATCTTGCGGTGAAAACGTGCAACAGATAATAACGGATAAAATCATGCATAAATAATTTTAAAAAAAAACTGATTCTATAGTTTTAAAAAACCATTTCTCAAGAAGTCTATACAGATATATGTCACGGTATAATATTTTATAACTTGGGCGGTGTTCTTTTGAACGTCAATGAGACAATAATGTATTATTATACATTGCTGATTGTATAATATGAAGGTTTTCGAGCTACTCCCGTCATCTTGAATATTTCATTGAATAAAAAAGTAGATTGTTTTTCGTATAATATGCATTGGCTTACACTAGAGCAATCAATCAGGTGGGTGCCGTACATAAAAGTTTAACCAAAGGCGAACGGTCGATATTTCCTTTTAAAGTCGTATTATAATATATTATTTTTAATCTTCCACTCCTTGATAATCGATGATTATTCATCGTCACAATATTGTACACAGGTCGATGATGAACAGCGGAGAATGGCCGACAAACATTTCATACACAACGTGTGACGAATACAACGAAGAGAGTCCGCTACCGAGGCGAAACGTCGACTTGAGAAAATATCTCAAAGATGTAAGTGTGTTGAAGACACCTTGTGGTCGTCAAAAGGCCATCTTCTCGAAATGACAGCCCGTTTGCTATTGTCCCCATTGTTTAGCTGACAGAACCGCCGTTCTACGCCCCGTTCATAATCGACTCCAACGGCCGCAGCTATGAAGAGTTTACCATGCGATTGGAAAAAGTCACTGTGCTGAACAGTCAGTCGGTCAGTGCGGAAAACGTGGGGTCGTGGAAAGCCAGTCTTAATTCACCTATCGTCGTCAAAGACGCGGCCAACATGACGCACTTCTCGGCCGTAACCGTGTACAGAATAGTGACGGTTTTGGTAAATACCAAAATACCTACAGTGTAGCAAAAATAAAAAAATTACAAACAATAGTAAAAAATCGTTAAAAAAATTTGTCACCGAAAAATGTGATTTTTAGCAAAACCCGTTCATGATCAAAGTCGACGACGAAGACGGCCAAGGAGTAAAATTCAAAGGTTACTGCATCGATCTGATAGAAGAAATAAGAAAACTCATCGGTTTCGAATACGAGATTTACGTGGCGCCGGACAATAACTTCGGTACTGCATTAAAACGCTCGTTTTACTATTTTTAGAACCGATTTCATATTATGTTACTTACATACTAATTGTATTGACCAATGAGCATAGTGCATTTTGAAAAGGATTCCTGGAAGCAGTGATTTTTTTGTAAGGGCGAACAACTAAAGCTAAAGAAACTGGAAATAATTCTGAACGAAAATTTGTATTCCTTTTAAACAATTTATTTTTTCCCATTTTAATAATAAAATTATTATTGTAATTTATTTTTCACAACAGTTTTAGGTAAGTAGAAATCGCCATACCTACTATTTTCATTCTACAAAAAAAAAAAAATTGAAGTTTTATAAACTGAAGATTGTTTTTGTACATTTTGAAAAAGGGCCATATTAAGTAATTTTTAGACTCTGTAACTCAAAAACTAAGCGCGATCGAAAACCTACAGGATTCAACACAAAAAACAAACTTTATTTGGGTGCATTTAAAAAACACTTTGACCGTTTATTGATACACTTGCATCAATTAAAACATCTATAAAACTGTTATCGGATCACTCGCTTCGGAGTACGGTTAAAATTAGAACCAGTGATTTTCAACCAGACATAGGTAGATTTAAAAGCCCCTTTAAGAAAAGAAAACAAGTTTGCAAGTTCCTTTATTAGAAGTGCTAGAACCAAGAAACTAATTCCTATCTTTTCAAATGAACGAGGAACTGGACTTGTGATACTTATGAATTATAATGGTATAATGATAAAGTTAAAATATTTTTTTTAGGAAATATGGATGAAAATGGTCAATGGAACGGAATGGTAAAGGAACTCGTCGAAAAGGTAATTTTTAATAATTTTCTCAAACCAGGCCTATTAGTCCTGGCGGCTAATTCAAAACTTGACAGGGGAGTTAGGTCCCATTGTTGATGTCGATTGAGACATTTTGTTGAATTAAATACACCCTGAAAGAACAATAATTTTTGAAACATGCCAAAAAACAATGATAATGACTCATGATTTATAAAATACACATTATATCATGTTTAGAGGGCTGATATAGCCTTAGGTTCGACGTCGGTGATGGCCGAGAGAGAAAACGTTGTAGATTTTACGGTTCCTTACTACGATCTAGTAGGGATAACGATTTTAATGAAAAAACCCAAAACTCCTACGTCGCTGTTCAAATTTCTAACTGTATTGGAAAACGACGTATGGATATGCATACTAGGAGCTTATTTTTTCACTAGGTAAGACTAGTTTTTGCAATAAAAAATGTACTCAAAATAGATGTTAATAATAAAATTATAATTTACCCTTTACTTTAGCTTCTTGATGTGGATATTCGATCGGTGGAGCCCGTACAGTTATCAAAATAATAGAGAAAAATACAAAGAAGACGAAGAAAAAAGAGAGTTCAACTTAAAGGAATGTCTTTGGTTTTGCATGACTTCCCTCACTCCTCAGGTATGCCGTAATTAAATATCAATTATGAAGTCAATGATAACCGTTTGATGTAATTTATAAAAAAAATATAGACTATAATACTACAAATTGTATTTTTTAAAAATGCCAAACAAATAATATTATATTGTTTGATGCAATGTTTTTTTTTTTATCTTATAATATGCACAACAAACCAAACACCTAAGTTTGAGTATTATTTTAGGGCGGAGGAGAGGCTCCCAAAAATCTATCGGGTAGACTAGTCGCTGCAACGTGGTGGCTTTTTGGTTTCATTATTATTGCATCTTACACAGCCAACCTTGCTGCGTTCTTAACCGTTTCCCGTTTGGACACACCAGTGGAGTCTTTGGACGACCTGTCCAAACAGTATAAAATCCAGTACGCTCCGTTGAACGGTTCGTCCGCGATGACTTACTTTCAAAGGATGGCCGATATAGAAACCAGATTCTACGAGTGAGTGGTTTTTTTTTCTTTCATTTCGCACGAATCGGGAAGTAACCAAGCACAGCTGTTGTTATTTTAATGGTTTTCACCTCCTCAGAATATGGAAAGACATGAGTCTAAACGACAGCTTGAGCGAAGTGGAACGAGCCAAACTAGCGGTTTGGGATTATCCGGTCAGCGATAAATACACAAAAATGTGGCAAGCCATAAAGGAAGCGAAATTGCCCAACACTTTAGAAGAAGCCATCGAAAGGGTCAGGAGTTCCAAGTCTTCGAGCGAGGGTTTCGCTTACTTAGGTCAGTGTCAGAACGATACACACAGTACTGCAATTATTGGTGTATGAAATCGACGGTGTGTATAATATATTCTGTTGAATGCCAATATGTTAACAGGAGACGCGACAGACATACGATATCAAGTGATGATCAATTGTGATCTGCAAATGGTCGGTGACGAATTTTCCAGAAAACCGTACGCCATAGCCGTGCAACAAGGGTCGCCGCTGAAAGATCAGTTCAACAACGCCATTTTGTTACTTTTGAACAAAAGAAAATTGGAAAAACTAAAAGAAATGTGGTGGAATATGAATCCGGAAAAAAAACAATGCGAAAAACAAGACAATCAGTCGGACGGAATAAGCATCCACAACATAGGTTACTATAGTGTTTTATACTTTCATTTTTACTTGCGAGATTGCTCGAAAATTGATTTTTGCTTTTCTTTTCAAGGCGGAGTCTTCATTGTTATTTTCGTCGGCATCGGATTGGCATGCTTCATGTTGGCGTTCGAATACTGGTGGTATAAATACAAGAAAAATCCAAAAGTTGCCAACACGATGAACACAAAACCAACCGGATTGAGCCGCAATAATTTTGCATATCCTGTGGTTCCAAACTTCAACGAGATGACTGGCATTAGGGCTAGAAATATCATGCAAGGGTTTAGGTAAACCGTTGAAATCATGTTCAATGCAGATTTATAATAATATTATGTAAACTCCACGTTTTATAATTTCAGACGGTCATTCGGTCAAACTACACCTAAACAAAATTAATACATTCATATTATACCTACCAACAGTACCTACCTCTTCAGTTTTGACGGACAACTTAATTAGGTTGACAAAACGTGTTAATAGCTTACCGTTTATCTGTTCTACGAAATTCGAAGAATAAATATGTCTTCATACTTATTATAATGTACTATAACATAACATTTAATTCGTAGCTACAAGAAAGGTTTTTAAGGTTTGAATATTTCATTGTTGATATTTTTCCATAGAATTTAAGTATGCAAATTTATACTGTATAAAAACCAAAAGTCATGTTTACATAATATATTGTTTTCTTGGTATTAATATTTAATGATACCATCGCCATTAACGTTATAAACGACCCAGGTCTAAAATTTATATTTCACTGTTTTAGCTTAAAAATACATTATTTCTATCTGTACACTAGTATAACAGTGTATTTTTCTTTTATGATATTTTATACACACAAAATATATATATACCACTATATGACAACACAATAGCGAGCCTTTATGGATTTTCATTATACGTTTTTCTTGAACGATTATATAGTTCAAATTTCTAGCAGGCCTTGTTGTAAGAAAATGGACTTAGGTTCCTTTTTACAAACATGTATAACCCGTCCAGTTCATCTTGAACTCGAGCCACTGTTTAAATTATTAGGGGTTTAGTAAAACCATCAGCGCAGAAGCGTTGCCAATTTTAATTTATTTGTATTATATTTTTCATTTGTTTTCCAAGTACATATAATACTGAAAATGTATACACAAACACTATTAAAAACAAATCAATTTCCTCGTTATACTTGTAATATTTACCAAAATTACCTCGAATACTATGTTTTTAAATTACCCGACTTGTTGTGACGTGGGACGCCAGATGGCGTAAGATGAACATGGCATAAGTACTAAGATAAAAATGAATAGAAATACAAATAACAATTATACCGATACAAACAATAGGTGTCTAAGTGTCTATTGTCTTTTTACACCTAATTATGTTTGTTTCAGTTTTTGTATTTTATTGAAATGTGTCATCGGTTAGTAAAATACATTTTGTTTATAATTATTTATTAAAACGGCTAATTTAACAAGTTTTCAGTTATTTTCTTTCATAAATTGACTTTTTTTGCAATCTGGAAACTCATACTCATTACTGTGATTTTCAACGATTTACAATAAAACTTGCTACGGTTCTTCATTTGTAGTAAGATAATTATTAAATGAAGACATCTGAAAAAAACAGATTTGAATCCATTTTCACATTTTCAGATAAACAACAAACTCTCCTTGAATCAAAGTTGAAATATTGATATGAAGGGGGGGAAACCTCATATTGGAACTTCCTAAGACAAGACTAAATGAAACCTATATATTTTGTTTCAAATTACAATTACATTAAATATAATATACAAAATATTGTGTACAACTTACAATAGAATTTAAAGTACTACGTTAAACCTAAGTCACGTTACAACAACATTTAAAATGGATAGAATCCGGTCACATTCTTAACGGCTTCTGCCTCGTCTTTAGATGACACTTCATGGTAAGCGTGAAATTCCATTGAAAACGAAGCAGAACCAGACGTAATTGTTCGGAGATCTTTGGAATAGCCTAGTAATTCTGCTAACGGTACTAATGCAGTCACTACCTAAATAATTTATAACATAAATGATACAGTAAAATTATTGAACACTTTTTTGTTTCTCAAACTAAATAAAATATTTTACTCTATTATTAGATCTATTTGTTATGTCTTGGATTGATCCTCTCCGACGTCCAAAATCAGATATTACGATCGATGAGTTTTCTTCGTCGGTCACCACTTCAACATTCATGACGGGCTCGAGTAGTTTAGTCTGAGCAGTTTTCAACAGCTATTTTAAAATAAATAATATTACTTGTAATACGGAAGATATGGAAAATTTCTTAAGACCAGTATCGAATAATACTTGATTAAACATTTAACTCTTACTTTGTGGACACATTGGTTTACTGCTGAACTTAAAACAGTATCGGATGTTCCTTTACTCGTTTCCAACCAATGAAGTACAAATCGTACATCGATAACCTGAAGAAAATTAAAAAATAATGCAATAAATACAATTATTGTCTCGCAAGCAATCATTTGAAACACTCACGGGACATCCCAGTTTAGGTCCGTGAGTTAGTGCAGCTTTCACGCTTGACGTTATGATGTTTAATTTGTTTAAATGAATTGCCGCAGTATTAGACGCGTTATCTGGACTATTATCCAATGATAACAGTTTTTTATTAGGTTCGGCTTTTAATATTGACATTATTACAAAAACGCTGTGAAACGTCGAACCTGAAATAAAAATGAAATAATAACTTTGCCCAAAATTGTGACCAAAACAATTTTAACTAATTGATTTACCTATTTTTAAATCAAGTTTATGTTCTTCTTTTGCAGACGATAACAGTCCTTCCTTGTACGAAATTTGTGGACGACTCATATCGACGGCTATTTTGTATTCAGTCTTGATTCTTTCGCCAATTACTTCCAAATGTAGTTCACCCATACCTAATCTAAAAAATTAACTATACCATTTCGAAGTATTATGTTAAGCACAAAAAAAAAACCTGATAACTTACCAGCTAAAATAGTTTCACCTGTTTCTTCGTCATAGCGCACTTTCAAACTTGGATCTTCTCTTTGTAATTGACTCAGAGCACTTTCCAACGCTAATTGATAAGACTAAAAAATAGTGGTTGTTTTGAGATATAAAAAAAATAATTTTATATATTCGAGATGTTTATTGTTACCTGAGATGGAGGTTCGATCGAACAGAAAAATACTGGATCTGGTACGTGTAAGTCGACTCCGAGTTTCTCGACAGATTGTTCTTGTGTCAAATTACTTGAATTCGCTAATTTCTTGAGAGCAACCTTTAATGCATTGCCGCTACTTGTTATAAAGTCACCGCAAACAGTACTCTATCAGAAAATACAGCAAATAAGTCAATCAATTCAAGTTTGTCGGATTTTAAATAGTACTTTTAAACCAGTAACAGCAACAATGGCGCCGGCGTGTGCCTTTTCTACTTCGTTGTAGTCATCGGCGTACGCAATCATGACTCGGCCAACATTCTCTGATTTTGACTGTGTAGCGTTATGAATTTTTTGACTCTGGAAAAAATAATGGTCAATATAAAACTAAATTCATTATTTAAAAAAATTAAAATTTGTACTTTAGCCACTTTTTTTCATTTTATCGAGAAAAAAAGGTAAATTGTTAATGAGTTTGAGCTATTTAAGACATCAAATTATATTACAACTTCAGAAAAAAAGTTTTTAAAGTAAGCTACTATTTTTCATTTCAAATTACTTTTTCCAACTCTCCAGAGTAAATTCTTAAAAATGTTACTGGCCCTTTTTGTTTTTCGTGAACGATTTTAAACACTCTTGCCGATAACGATGAACCAAATGCCTTAAACACGTCCAAATTATGGCGTTCAATTGGAGAAGGTAAGTAATTTACAATACTGTCCATGAGAGACTGAACGCCAATATTTTTATATGAACTTCCACAAATTAATGGTATTCCTTTCTAAAAAAAGAAAACAATTTTCGTTCAAATCAACTTTGAAGCATAAAAACTAGAATTATAATATGAAATATAACATTTATGTTAAATTACTTGAGATAAGCAGACACGTCTGATGGCTGCCAACAGTTGATCGCTATCTATTGAATCGATACCGTTATCCAAAAATAAATTGGCAATCGTGTCATCCATATCGGCAAGATCACCGATAAGCGTTTCTCTACTTTTGCATATGATTTCCCATTGTTTGGTGTTTTCTTCGACGGCTGTAGAAAGTACTTTTTGGCCACAAGCGCCGTGCCACGTTTGTATAGTTTTCGTAATTACATCAATCAAACCGATGAAACGACCGCTACTTTCTGCAAAGTGAATTGCAAAATAAGTCAATGATAAAAAAAGTTATGTTTACTGTAAATACTGAAAAAGTTTACCTTTTACTGGTATTTGAAGAAGTAATGGAGTGATGTTAAATTTTGACTTGAGCAAATCTACACACAACGGTAGCGAGGCATCGGCACGGTCCATCTTGTTCGCATAGACGATTCGCGGTATCCCATACCTATCGGCCTGTCGCCAAACAGTCAATGTTTGTGCTTCAACGCCTAGTTTTAAATAATTAATCTCGTAGTAATTTATTATTGTTTATAAATCGAACACAATTATTGACTTTTGCATATTTGTATTTCGTTAAACATTTTTTTTCAAACATAGTAACACACTAAAATTTAACTAATAATAAAAAACAACGGATTTGTTTAAAATATTTTGATAATTTTTACTTTGATGTGAAGCAGCGATGCTATTGGTTTTTTTTAAATGTTTTTAGATATTAATTTGTTTTTTCTAAAAAAATGTTAAGGAATACTGTTGACAATTTGACATATTATTTAAAAACAAAGTTTTTTAAACCCAAACCGAACTGTAAAAAAAAAAATTTGAACTTAATTGTAACTGTCACAGTCAGCACATTACATGATCAAACATAATCCATTTTTATAAAGCACACACTTGACTTAAAACCAGGCAAATAGTATTGTTTTAAGTCAATCTAAAAAACTCAAGTTTGATTAAAAATAGAAAAGTTTCCCATATCGCTACCAATTAAAATATTTTATACAATTTTTTTTAGCCGATTCAAAAATGTCAAAGCCAAATGTACATATTAAGATTTTTAAAATGTATTTCTAACCTGCAGATGAATCCAACACAACAACTGCACCATCCAAAATATTTAATGTTTGCTCCACTTGCATTGTAAAGTCAATATGACCGGGAGTGTCTACAAGGTTTATGTTACAGTTTTTCCACGGAAATGTGACTGCAGCCGAAGTAATGGTGATACCTAATTTTATTTAATACCATTAAGTAAAACGTAATCATAAATAACAAATAGTTTTTACAATTTAGTGTTTTATTTCACCTAATACCTCTGTCTCTTTCTTGATCCATATAATCGGTAACAGTGTTTCCGTCGTGCACTTCTCCCATGTTACAAATCATCCCGGAATAATACAGCATCCGCTCGGTCGTCGTTGTCTTGCCTAAAAATTAATAAGAATTATATTATACTAACAATTTACCAAACCCTTGTCAATAAAATACCTGCATCAATATGAGCCAAAATTCCAATATTTCGTATTTTAGACAAATCGTTTGTTTTCTGGCTGTAGCGATGACGTGAAGCTACTAAATAATGCCATTTCTTCAATATTATCTGACGTGAATTCCGATACATCCTGTAAATATAATAATAGTAGTGTTATTCTTCATTATGACTAACACGAGTCATCCAAGTAGGCTAGTAAGTTAGTTTGTAAAACTAACCTACTTAGATATAATATTTCACAGGTAAAAATAGTATCCATTTAAAAAAAAATTAATAACTATTGTATAATCAATATATATTGAAAATTAAAAATCATAATAATGTTGTCAATTAACCACAAAAGTAAATTAAAGAAATTAAACATTCTTTTTTTTTAAAAATGTACAAATAAAAGAGAGAAAACATAATAATGAATTAGATTAATATAATGTTATAGATGTGACTACATAAAAAAGTTATTTAAACGTAAAAAATACAAGTATACAAATAATGTACAATACTTTTATAGTAAAACTATAAAATTAATAAAACTGACCAAAATTAAAATGTCACATTACTTAAATATTTATAATTTCATTTCATTCAATCTTACTTAGATAAGTACCCGAATGCTTACTTTTTAAACAGCGTCTAATTAAAGTACAGTAAGTACTAAGTACGGAAATCACATTAGTTACGTTGTATAAGAAAAACTCATTTTCTTATAATTTATTTTCATTTATAGCAATCCGTAATGAAAAATACAATATCACAACATGCGGCAAGCTCTTGTTATCTGTTAACTGTTTTGCTGTTATCACAGACAAGATAATCTATTCCCTGGCTAGAGATAAGATAATACATAATATACAACCACGGTATAAAAACTTAATATTATACTTAATAAACATATATGTACATATATATTATCTATTTTAACGTTTACTTACTGTATAGGTGCTAATTATTACTGTCAACTATTGCCAATAACCGTGTTTTTTTATATTATTTATAAAGATTCCTTCAAGATAAGTTCAAAAATACACTATAACAAATGCTTCAACGTCCTAGATATTATGCCTTTCAAAATGAATTTGCAAATCAGGTATGGTCGAGAAGAGTAGATGATTAAAAATAACAATTACACACTTACAACTTTAATTGAAAACAATAAATTATACCATTAATTGTATACAATTCACGATTAAATAGAACACAATAACTGTTTTTTGTGTTTAAAGTTATTTTCATTTTAATTGATGCGCATTGCAAGCATAAAATACCGTTCAACTATTATAGATTAAATTAAAACACATACATATTGTATATAGTTAAATTTGTTATTCTAGTAACGATATTTCTTTTTGACAGCAATACTTATATACTGTATGAACAATAAGTACCTATTTCAGCTGTTGTCATACATAGCCAACAAAATATCTAGGTTACATTATTCTATGTATTATTATTATTATCATTAATACTCGTATATATTCTTAGAGAATTCAAAAAATGAACGTGAAATTTCAAAATTAATATCACGAAATCGACTGGCTATGAAGCGTTTAAATAAAAAAAAATCAAGCATGCCTTCGTATTCATTGTCAACCGAATCGCTTATGTCCACTTCAAGCTGTTTTGCCAAATTAACCAATTCCAACTTTCTGCGACTTTTGTAAGACGAACTCAAATCAGCACGTGACATTTCTATTGATGGAAAATAGTTTAGTCCTTTCGAAAATTTATCCAGCATGTTCATAATTCGGTTTTCGTTTTCGATATTCTTAACTGGATCACTAAACGTAGCTTGCGGTTCTGAACCGAACAGTTGGGCGAGAAATTTGAATTCTTCGTCCTCGTCTATTTTCAAAAAAGACATAATCTCTTTATAGTGATTCGACATCGTTTCGTTAGTCGTCCCTAACTTACTCTGCAAAATCCATCGTGCCAATTCTTTTGGTTTTCCCGACAAGGGCAACTTCAAACGCACATCATATATATATTTCATGGCAGTACGAGCGATTATATACTTGATTAGATCGAAAAAGACTGTCATACACCCGCCCAAGTCCACGACCAATGACCGAACAGAGACCAACTCAAGATGGTTGCAGGTACAGTGTTGAAGTATACTTTCGTATGTACCCATCCCATCCTCTGCAGCCTCTGCGAAATCGTTTATCAACGTGTACATAATATTATTGCTGCACGTAACATATTTCAAGCGCAAATCGTCGTCCAAAAAATATACTCTATGGTAGCCGACGCTTAAGATACTTATTATTTGATCAAATCTGTCCTGGCCCGATTTGATAATATCGGAAAACAATTTTCTCATCAAGCGATTGGCGTTGGTGTGAGCAAATTCGAGTCTTTGCAATTCGCTATAGTAGTTGGACTCGCTATATTGGTGGTTGTACATATTATTCGAGTCGCATTTGTTGTCTCTGGTGAATCGTGTAAGTGACTCGTAAATGATGTCGTGATCTTTCGAAATAACAATGCTCTGCTTGATATTGTGTTCGTCGATTAGAACATTGGATACAAGTGGTTTTAAACATTCTAAGTACACATACATCAGCCATAACGGATCCAAAGAGTTTACCGTGCCGAGATTGTGCAAAATAAAAAACATACCGACAATATTAAGTTGGAACATCGACGTGAAGACGACGTCGTTGTGAAATATTTCCTCCAGCAAGAATTTATTTATTCCATCTGCCAGATATGCTCGGTCTACAAGAATTTTAATCAAGTTCATGTAATGGCAGCAAGTGAACACAAAACTACACAACAGATTCTTGTAGACTATTTCTTTGGTTTCGGCCACTTTACTCTCTGTGATTGCGTTGTACGTTAAGTATTCAAACAAAATGTGTGCTTGTTTTATCTCACCGTGCATGTATCCAGTATCGATGCTGAGAAATTTGTCGTATTCGACTGTCATATCAACTTCATTGTTTGAACTTCTCGTACGAGCTTCACCGTTTTTCCAAACACAAGTTAATGTTATTTCCAAAATCAGCAATATTCGTAAGAAGTACATGGTTTACCTCTTTTAGTAAGCGTGTACAAAATGTATTTTCAATAACGAAACATTTTATAAAACGATTAAGTCAAATACACTTAGTACGAAATGTATTTATTTGCTTATGGTAATAAAATGACAGCACACCTTTAAGTTTTGTACAATAGAAAAAAATAGGTCATACGTTTTTTCTTAATAAATTCCTTGCAAAACAACGCATTGTAATTTGAATTAAACTTTCTAGTATAACTAAGTTATACAGTATACACTGACAATATCAAGTATAGTTCTTTGTTTTACAAATAATACATCAGTCGCAATTAACGGCTTATAGCTGTATACTAGTTTACTATCACAAGTTAAAATTATTAAAACCAGCGATATTTTTAATAAAAACATAACCATTAAAATGTCTAATATTTTCCCTCTGGTCCAGAATACTTCTTAAGAGTAATTAAATAATTCATTGCCATGTAGCTTTTAATATAAATACTTATAAAGTGTTAATGCAGTATTTCGTACAGATTGCTACAGCTGTATACATATTTTTCGTTCATTCAATACACTGGTAACAAATGTTGGTGACGCGTAAGTACTACAAATAACAGTAACATAAACTTACAAACGGAAAATAAAAGTTAAAACATTATTTACATTTTTAATCCTAATAAATACCAATTTAAAAAGTAATACAACAAAATAATATGAGACGATTGCCCATATTGCGCCCCCCCCCCCCAAACATATTTCATAATAAATGTTTCGATTTCATTATTTAATTTTTTCGCATCACGTTGTGGTCTTGTGATGTTATGAAAAAAACTACTCTGACAAAAATTACTATAGAGGGATCGCACTGTACTGGCCATATTATAGCATCGTCGCATCCCTGAAAACCGGCTCGGCAAACCGGTCATCCCACAGATTCCCTTTTTTATTTGTACAGTACAAGTGGCCAAACCTGATTATCTCTTATTCTTCGCTGCTCTTCTTTTTCATTGTCCGTTATTGTGTTGTGTAGCATAAAAAACATGTTGGCGCGCACAACGGATTATGATTTATGTCCGGTTGTATGTTTTTTATACATTCATACCAGCGTTAGTAAAACGATGTAAAAGGATGCTGCGTGGTATATCGTCCGCTGACCAGGACCACCTGGACTTGTGGAACAATCGGCTTAGGGGACGGTTAAAAAAAAAATTTAAAAACACAGCTCCCTTCGGTTAAAACATTTTAATGTACATATTATTGTACCTACTCACAATAAACATTCGACGGCGGAATAGTCAACTATGTGGGATACTTAACCCTTAAGAAAACGACAATATTTTCAAGGGCAAAATAACTTATTTTGTTACACATCGATCAATGGTAAATAATTACTTCTTGAATGATTTTATATGTATATAATAATATTATCAATTGTATAAAACTTAATGAAAATATTTATTATTACACATTTTATTTTTGTCATGGGTTTAACTATAAAAAAAATCATTAGCTTAATAAAAAAAGGAGCAGGGGGAATTTCATTTGTAGAGATTTGTATACTAAAGAGTAAAAAGCTTATTGTTATTTTAAAAAAACATTAATTATAACAGTTAACCTAACCTATTCCTGTGTTTTTTTTATGAATGAGATAATGTTGTGTTCTTAAACCAAGTTGAGAAAATTTCTTAGCGTGTTCTGTTTTAGAAAGTTTTATTTTTATGCATTCAATAATTATGTGCTAAATAGGTTGTGGGGGTAGTTTCATGTGTGACTAATAAACAATGATTCTGGTCAATTAAAATATATACCTTAGTAAAAAAGGCTGACTGTGTAAAAGAAAGCCTACTGTTTTTAGACTAGACAGTTTTAAATTTTTTAATTATTACTTTAAGAATTGTCAATATAATAATATACAATTTTAGTGGGAACACGTGTCCCTACCTGAGGGTCCTCTACACTAGCATTTATTAAGGCGCATAGTATAGGCAATTTTTCGCTTGAACTTAACATTAAACTAAAAACATTTAAACATACATATTACCATAGGAAAGAAGTATCTCTTTTAATAATTTTTTTTTTCAACTTTTATAACGCATATAGGAGCTATTTTTATGCAATAACACATGTTTCTACTTCAAACGTTCTGTCCTTAAGAATACATCGTCTTAAGTTTTTAAAAAATATTTGAATTCTTCACAACATCATCAAGGCATAGGTCATGATACAATTTTTAAATTATGTTTGTTAATTAACTATTTCAAAATAAAAAAAAATTCAATTTTTAACTTTTTAAACTGAAATAATTAATTAACTGAAAATAAATTTAAAATTGTGCCACGACCGATGCCTTGAAAGTGTTTAGAAAAACTCAAATTTTTTTTTTAAAACTTAAATCGGAGTATTCTTAGGAACGTACTGTTTCTGTACTGTACTGTACGTTTGAATTAGAATGAGTTGTTTTCGACCAAAAATACGCAGATGTAGAGGCCCCTTAAAGGATGTTAAATAATAAGTAAAAATGTATACCTACTAAAAAGAGAAAAATAATGAATTTTTAAAACATGCTCTATAATTTGAAATGCACCAAAAAATAGAATCATTCAACTAAAAGTTCAAGGTTTATTTTGGCTGACATTCTATTTATAAAATAGATCAATTTTATTTGAGTGCATAAACATATTTTTTTAATAAAGTTGTTTACATATGTATGTACATTTATAGAAGGTATAATAAAAACAATTTTAATTAACTTATTCATTCAGAC